AAGCGGGCTCAAAAGCTTGAATTCCCACCAGGATTGATCTTGCCCTACAGCCTTCGACTTAATGGTATACTTCAGCATTGAATACACCGCGAAACCGTGTGGAAATGCAATGCTAGACATCTCGCCAGGCCATAGTTATTTTTCGTTCCATAATCCTTAAGGACCCCTGTGGGGAGGGTATCGTCACCGTCCGCAGGAGGCGAGTGGAGCAGGACCAGAACCTCCGTTTAGCTTCTACGGGCCCTCCCACAGTGTGCTAGACGGTTGGCTCTAGTGTAGCTTCTCTGCCGTTCTTGCACACACTCGGCGCCGTGGCCAATGACGCCATGGCTCTCGATCACTCACCGGACCAACCTCACACAATTCGAGGAAAAAGGCATTGCACCCACTGGCAGATTCGGCAGAGTGCATCTCATTGTTAATATCCGTTTGTCATGATGCCTCTTCCCTTCTTCCCTTTGTGCCACATACGTCTCTGACATATCCCATCATCATATGTCGATTCCGGCCCCTAAAGGCCCCAAGTGGATATATGTATGCGAATCGACATATACAAACTATTCGTCAAAGGTTACAGATCCTCCCACGGAAGCTACGTGAGGTTTACGTCAACATCCTCGGGTTTCACTAGCCTCGGAGAACATATCTTTTGGTAACCTTTGGGGTACGTGATATGCTTGTTATCCGTCGACGGGTGCCCGCGGGAACCTGAGGGGTTGGTTTGATTTCCCCTCACAAGAATCGCCTATCCCGCCTGTCGAGGCGAGCAGACCAGACAGAGACGCCACGCATATTTCAGCTGTGGTTGACGGCTAAGGCCATCACGAGGGTGTCCGAGGGGTGTGCTCGCCTTTCGTGTCATCACGTTGGCATGCTAGCCTACGAGGGCTCGGGAACCATCTGCCTAGCTTCCTTCTTCCTACTGATCCCCCGCTGTCTAGTGTCTTTTGCGCGCTTCTCCAACCACCCACTAGAGCTCCAAATCTGATGAAGCTATGCCTACTTGAGGATGCTCTAAGAAGCTGTAGAAGACTCAATGCTGTGGGCTGGGCTGGGCTGGAGAGCTTCACCTCAGCATCCAGAGTCAACAACAGACCTCACATGTATCCGATTCAAGGGGTCAATAGCCACTCATGGGGCACAAAGCTGCATCGGTACAACCCAAGTGCCTGAATGTGGGCCATCGACTGGCTAAGAATCATACGCGTCGTTCGAGATTCGCGGTGCGGCCGACAAAATGGTTCAAGACAATAAATTCAGTGCAGTGAGAAAGCTATCATGACCCTCGGAGCTTCTAGGAACCAAAGCGCAGCCGAGTCCGAACATACACACACAAAGCCTGAGCTCATTCCGGGACGCCGAGTTTCCATTCCGACCATGCCGGCCGTTGCATATCAAAAAAACGCATTCCACTTCTTCCGTCTGCTGCTTCCTCAGGCGACCTACGCGGCGCAAATGCGACTAGCCGCTGCTAGCCCCCTGTAATCCTGTACACTCATCGATTCGTACAACTCCTTTTTGGCGTGCTTCCAGGCACCGGATATCATTGTTGTCGTTGCTTGCTGCCGCCGCCGCCGCCCATTGCGTCGATTCGGCGTGGGATTCTCTCCGCGCTGGCGTCCATCGGTGCCGGTTCGGAGAGCATCGTACGTCGCCTTACACAATCATTTGCGCGACACCCTGGCCACCAAGAGTTTTGCTGCCGACGAAAGCCTGGCCCTTGACGCCTGCAAGGAGGTAGCAGATGGCGGTCAGGGACAGAAAGACACCGGCGGCGACCAAGCTGGTGGTGTTGATGATGGTGCTGAGGAACTGGATGACGGCCATGACGGCGTAGGCGCCGGCGCGCATGTAGTTGGTCGAGATCTTGCGGATGAGGCCATCGAACGTGGACGAGGTAGGGCAGATTCGAAGCAGCAGGGGGATCTCAATGAAGAGGATGACCAACGAGGAAGCGCTAGGGAAAAGCTTGTCAGCGGAGCTCCGGATGCAGGATTGAAGGGGGAGCTTACATGGCGAAGGCACAGAAGATGATGATCAGAAGGTGGATCGTGAAGATGTTGGCAATGCCAAGTGCTAAGCACAGGATCATGGACAGGACACCCAGCCTAGATTGGTCGAGTCAGTTGTGTTTCCAAAGAAGCTTGACGAAGCTCAAACGGCGCACGTCGATGCAGCGAGCAATCGCAAAGAGGTGCCGCGGATTGCACGCAATGGCATCATCTGTTCTGCTCGGGATTTGGGCAGTCGACGACAGCGCGGCGCGGCGCGGGTATGAGGGAGGGCCGGCAGGGAGCTCTTACCATTGTCCGTAAATGCCTGCGATGGTGGTTAGCAACTGGACAGCTTGCGGCAGACGACGGGCAGGAACACGTACTGAAGTTGCGGGTCGCGAACTCCTCCTTGAGCGTCATCTTGCCTGATGGATTTGGTCGGGTTCGTTGTGTAGGTGATTTCTTGGTCGGAGAACGTGGGCTGTCGGAGCTATGTGCAGTGGAGATGGTCCGAATTCCAGCTCACGAAGGAAGTGTTGACGGGACGGAGATCGACAAGCTTGCGACGGGGGTCCGTGTTCGTCAGGTGAAGGTTGATGAAGGTATTGCGGTTTTGATGAGTTGCTGTAGTTCAATGCAGGAGCTCGAGGATCGTGGCGTTGATGGGGGCTGGGTATCGCAGGACAGAAGCTTTCAGCCGAAATCAGAGAGGTGAGGGTGTTGTTGTCAGCTATTTTGGGGAAAGGCGACAAGACGAGAGAGTCGTCGTACGTAGCCTCTTTTCCGAATTTGAGGCTTGGAACTGGGGGGTGGGTTTGGGTTTGGACCAGTCAGAAGGCTCGCCTGAGAAGGTACTCTGCTGCTGCGGCGGCGGGCGGCGGCAGGACAGACACACGCTGTCCAGGATCTTGGAAGGGGTGCAGGTGCAAGTGGCTCCACCGTCTTGCTAGGTCGTTTTCCTGAGGTGGCCCGGCAGCCGAAGGGTCCAGTATCCGTACAGAGAGTACTTGGGACAGATAGCAGGTGCTCGCTGTAGCTGCGGTGAAGCTTGACGTAAGCTGCAGCGCCCGAGTGGTGAATGTGTCCTCCACTGAGTCTGTGTCCCCTAAGTTCCCCCCGTATTATTGTTGTCTTGTCCCTGCTGCAACTGGGACGACGACGGCGACTCAACTGAAAACCAAGGGTCAGGGCAGTCTTGTGATTGGTGGCTTGCTCTCTCTCCCTTGGTTGAAGAAATTCGGGGAGGGGCGATCAGGTCCAGCAGGGGCCTTTTTGCTATCTGTTTCTGACCGTCCTTGAAGTACCGTACCTCACCTTCAGCTACCTAAGGAAGGTTCCACGCCTGTTTGCTATGCAGTAAAGCGTCGAAATGCCGCCTCCCTGAGAACGAGAAATGCGACCCAGGTTGTTGTGTCTCCCTTTGCTCTTCTTGTTTGGGTTGAGCCCTGTGCTTGTCGTCGCTTCTCGAACGCAAGACACCTCACCGTCTTCTCAACGGTCGGGACAGGCACGGGAGTAGGTAATAACTGGACCGGGACTCAATATCCTGCTTGCTTAGTACGGGGACAGGTATTCGTTCCGTACCTGACTTTGGGTAGGTAAAGTAGCTGTTCAGTCCGATCCCCTGGACGTTTCGCCAGGCTTTGACCCTTGAACCGGGGCGAAGATGGGATGTGTGAGAGGTTTATGAAACAACGTCCTGACACTTTCCGGGCCCGGGCCAAGCACGGTCGATCCTGTATCGTCTTTCTCCCACTTGTTCGCGATTGAGTTGGCTTTGTTTGATTGATTAATATAGCCGCGTCGCGGGACCACTTAGCGAATGGTTGCGCCTTCAGATGCGGTGGGTATTTTTCTTTTCGATCCTGAGTAATCTCTGCCAAGGATACAGAGAACACGATAACGTCTTTGAAGAGAGGCCGAGCACTGGTGCTTTTGAAACCCGAGGAGCAACACGACAAAAGGTGTTGAACTGACTTTCTTTGCGATTCATTGCCATCGCCACTCAGCACCGCTGCCTCGACCTTGAGGCTTTTAATACTTGCGACTCTAGGCAGCTGTATTTTGTGTTTTTCCCATCGTGCGGGTTCAGCGGAGGGGATACACGCGTCCCGGGCTATTACGTGGACTCTGCTCAAAGCCTCTTTTGATGCACAGCCATCCAGGTCTGTCCGCTATCCAGATGCCTGGAATCGGGCAAACATGCTCCTTCGTTCTCGTATCCTCGTCGATGCAGCCTGAAATTTCGGACTGAATGTATGGCCGACGGTCTGTTCATGACATCCAACCTACGTAGACCCCGCCGCTGCGCTGGGAGACTTCCGGATTCGCGAGGGGCGGGAGCTGGGCCCCGGCCGGTTTGCCCCTCCCGTGTCCGGGGGTTGCCACGGCGTCGGGTCGGTAAAGCAAGCCAAGCAAGCTCCGTGATATCGGCCCAAAGATCCGCTCGTAGGCAATGTCTTGTCCGTTCCCTCTCTCTCACATTAACCAGCCATTTTCTGCGCCACAGCCGGACTAAATAGAACCGCGTGAAAGTCCACGGGATCCGGAGATAGCGGCCCCTTTGCAGCGGCGCAAGTGGAGATCAACGGGTCGCCAGTCAGCACCAACTGATCGGAACCAGATCTGCGGGTGTAAGTAGGGCTTGCTTCACCCGCCATTACATCATAACGCCGAACTCGTGCATCGCGAACCCTCGCGCCTGGCATTCAACCGCGGATTGGCCGGTAGACTGATGTGACTTACGGCAGTGATAGTCAAGTAGAATGCCAAGAAACCCCCTTCCAAATTCCGTATATACCATAACATTAGCCCCGGCCGCCGGCCGCAGAGGTTTAACCCCGAGTCAGAAGAAAGGGAACAACCCCGCTCTAAACCAAAATACTCACCCACATCGAGTTCGTCAAACTCAGTTGATAACCCCTCCTCTGCGCCCAATATCATAACCGAGTCAACTGAGTTTCAAGGTTTGATATCGACAGCAGCCACCTCGACCAAACCCGCGCCATGGTGTTGACGGTCCTCACCGACGACCAGATCAAGGCGATCCTGGCCGACCTCACGACGGACGAGTTCGAATCCTTTAGAAAAGTAATCTCACACGCCCTCCACGAGTACTCAACCAACGCGACAAACATCGAAGATGGCACCTACCACCAGCCGGACCGTCTCTCGACCGAGAACCTCAAAACCGGCGCCACCACGCTGTACATGCCCTCCGTAGGGCCCCAAGGCATGGGCTGCAAAGTCGTCACCCTCTCCTCCGCCAAAGCCGCCGCGGACCCGGCAAAGCCAGCCATCACCCCAACCGGCGCCGTGACCCTCCTCTCGCCCGAGGGCCAGCCCGTCGGCTTCCTCCACGCAAAGACGCTCACGGCCTTCCGCACCGCCCTGTCCTCGACGTGTCTGCTCGCGCGCCGCGGACAGGTGAAGACGGTGACGTGCTTCGGCGTCGGGCTGCAGGCCTACTGGCACGTCCGGCTGGCCCTGCTCATCAGGGGCGCGACCATCAAGCACGTCAACATCATCAACCGCCGCTTCTCGGACCAGGCGCGCGTGTTCCTCAAGCAGTTCTACCACGTGCCGGCGCACATCAAAGAGCGCGAGGGGTGGGCGGAGACGACGTTCAGCATCCTCACGCCCGGGTATGGGGAGTTTGCGCGGCTGCAGAGGGACCAGATCCGGGAGGCGGATGTGGTGTACTGCTGTACGCCGTCCACGGAGGATCTCTTCGAGGCGGAGGTGCTGACGAGCCACGAGGGAAGGCGGAAGGGCAGGTTGATTGCGGCCATTGGGAGCTACACGCCGCAGATGAGGGAGTTGCCAGTCGGGCTGTTGCAGATGGCTACGAAGCATGAGAAGGCGCATTGGCATTTTCACAAGCATGCTCCTGAAGGGGGTGTCATTGTGGTTGACACGCTGGATGGTGCGCTCAAAGAGGCTGGTGAGGTTATTGCCGCCGGGTTGCAGCCGACGCAGCTTGTAGAGTGAGTTCACCCGGATATTGTTCGAGAGGTGAGAAATTGCTGACGTGGGCTTACAGATTGGGTGAGCTGATTATGCTCCGGCGCATGCGAGAAGAGGCAGACGATGCCGAGGTGGAAAGTGAGACGGCAAGCATTGCCCCTTCGGAACTCGACAAGCTCGACTTCTCCGGTACGCCGTCCATCAAGTCTGCTTTCACAAGCTCCGATGGCGATTCGCGATCATCTCTGAGCAAAGAATCGACGACAAGCAGCAAGGGTCCTTACTTCCTCCACCGCCGAAGCTCGAGTCAGAGGTCAACGGAGAAACACAAGAAAGAGGACGCGTTGGCGCGCTGGTTGAGAGATGGAACGGTCATCTACAAGAGCGTGGGCTTGGGGCTTATGGACTTGGCGGTGGGCATGCATTTAGTTGAACTGGCTAAGGAAAAGGGCATTGGAACGCAAGTTGACGGATTCTAGAATCTTTCAAGGATGGATGCGGCGTTGGTAAGATATGGAGGATATCCCACGATTTTGAATTATGACCAGAAATTTGACTGTCCTATACGCGCTCAAATCTCAGCATCAGCCGCTCTGCTATCGGACGTGCGGTGTAGGTGTCGTCCTGTTCGATGTCTGTGTCATCGACAATATATGTTATGAAATTCGACCAAATGGCTGCTGCAATAAGCTTCATCTCTGTGACGCAAGTCAGCAAGCGTGTTGTCATGCAACAGATTTCCTTGACCTCACCATTCATTGCAAAGTTCGACCCGACGCACATCCTACCCCCACTCCCGAAAGCCCAAAAGTAACGACTCATCTCGCGGCGCTGTTCTTCGTTGGTCTCCGACTCAAGCCAGCGAGTGTGGTTCCACACTTCAGATTCCGGGAACACCGTCTCATTCCGATGAAGGGTGTAGCCAAGAGCAGCGACGCGGACGCCTCCAGGGACATGGAACTCTCCGAGTTGGCAAGACGGTTGAGGCGTTCGTCGTGGCTCGGGACCTGGGATCGGGGCATTCAGACGGAGCGTCTCCATGACCATGGCATTCAGGAGTGGTAATGCATCAACAGATTTTGGGTCCGGAAGGTTGCCTGGCAGAGATCCATCGGCTGGCATAGTTAAGGGAGGTTCCAAAGTCAAAAGTTCCTGTCTCAACTGCTGCTGCAAATCCGGAGATTTGGACAAATGCCAAGCCAAGTATGTGAGTGCGATGCCAGCCGTCTCTTGGCCCGCCAAAAGCTGGTCAAACAACTCGGATGCCATTGACAGGTCCTTCTTGAGTATGGCTGTTGAGTAGAGCAGAGACTCTTTCCCGTTGACTCGACGTTCCTTCTCAATTCCGGCCTCCATGGCCTGGAACACGACGGGTTCATCTGCGGGGTCTTGCTTCTCCGCGACTTCTGATCCGTTAATAGCATTGTACGTCTTCTCGCATAACTTCGTGTTCCACTCCCGCAACTCAGCATTCGCATCATCGACCCAAGCAGGATACGGCTTCAGCATCGATCCGAACCGACCCAAGAATTCCGTCAACTGTGGCATCTCCTGCGGCCAGAACCCGAAGCTCGCGCGTACGAGATACAGCTGCAGCCAGTGGTCTCTGTAGGACTTGTCTCTGAGGAAATCAGTGCTGTTGCGTAAGCCAAATATGTATGCTGTAATAAAGTCCATTGTAGAAGCGAGGAAGGTCGAGAACACCTCGATGCCCTGAGGCTCAGGACCGGCTGACGATTCAGATAACAGGGGTAGGAGACGACCGAAGAGAAGCTTGCGTGCTTGTGCTTTGGCAGCTGGCGAGGCTTGGATGAAGGATTTTGAGTAGGCATTTGACACCATACGCTTGCGTAGAGAGTGGGCCTTTGACTCCAGGGTTGAGAACATGTTGGGTACTCTTCACTTCAATGTCAGCGAGTGCCATGCATATGGAAAGCATACAAAGTTTACTCACCCATAGTTGTCGAATATAGAGTACCACTGGTCCTTCTCAAATCCCCCTTGGTAGACTGTTTTGATGGCATCGTACCCGTCGACACTGAGCTCGTTTGGACCAATTCGAACCACGGGGCCATACTGGAGATGTGCTTTATGGAGCGATCTGTTTTGGAAGTTGTTCTTCCTTGCGAGAAGAATCCAGAGAGGTGAGACGTGACATGACCAATGAGGTACCGGTATCTTGGCCAGGGGTGAGAGGAAGATTGGATAGGCGACGAAGTGGTAGACCAGCCAGACCACCACCGCCCCAACGGCGATGGGAATCAAGTTGAATCCCATATTGAAATGCAATACCGCTATGTGAATTATGCCAAGACGACGACTCAGTGATTCACACTCTCGAAGTGACTGGTCAAATAATCGACAGGGGTTTGTAAGTGGTTGCGGTCATCGACCTGACTGAGCAAGGAGCGGTTTCAAGAATGTAAAACACGATGAATCTCTTATTACTAGCGTTGAGCGGAGTGAACGACGGAATCCATGGAATAGAACGTTATCGCCTTCTATTAGGGCCGAGTCATGAAGGTGGTGTTGATACTCTTATCTCGCTCGACCTCTCAGGTCTTATCTTTGAGTTGATCTGAGTTGAAGCCGAGGTGCACTAACAGCGGGGTCGGCACCTGCGTCTCAGGGTCACGGGCCATGTTAGTGGCGGGAAAGTCACTGTTTGGAGCAACCAGAATTCCGCGAATAATCGACCAGAGTAGACGAGCTATACCGGAAACTAGAGATGAGAGTCTCGCCAATTACAAACGAATGCACAGTAGTATGAACATCTATCTAGCTTGACGAGGAAAGAAAACGGGGGAAATACGTCTCATGGGAAGGATTTCGCATGTACGTGCACACCGACCAAAACTCGGTATGCATCTAAACGGCATTTTGTCATTGACGCATAGAAGCAGGCATCCACCAAACAGTCCATCCTAGGCTGCAACTCACTACTTAGTCAATGGTGACTCTTTCGACTCATCGAAAGTATTGAGACTCAACTTCCACCTTCAAAGGATTGCTCAAGGTTGGAATTTGGAAGGCTTGGCACGGGCTCCGAACGGGTACACGGAACAAGGCGTCTCACAGGTTGCATCACACTTCCCACAGTAGTTAGCAGAGTTTTCAAACCGCTTTCTCACCTTTACCTATTCCAGCCATCATCACACCCACCGCACTCATCACCGTCAGTATCACAGCATTTTCCCACTCACCCAACTCTTATCTCATCCACTTTTCATGTTTCTCATATCTTCACCTCACTTCCCCTCATGCCACAAAAACCAACCGTCAGACAAATAGATTGACTTCTCAAACATACCTCGCAAGACCCAAAAAGAAACATGTTTGACCAACTCCCAGACGACATCGTCTTGGAGATTGTTTCTCACCTCAGAACAGCCCGCGACATCGCCAGGCTCGCCTCATCCTGTAAACATCTCCACCATCTCCTCTCAGAAGATGGCTGGCGCACCTTCGTCAGGACCTGCTTCCCTCTCCTCTCCCTTCCTCTCGGCCAGCACCCAAGATGGAACGAGCTGGCCAACACCCTGACCCGCCAGGCGAGGGCGTGGGACACGAAGGCTTTCCAGTCCATCGCTTACACGGACTCTCACCGACCAGAGGGCAACTTCTTCACCGGGTTCAGCAATGCCGCTCGCCCCTTCCACCCCATCATCGACGCTCGTCTGACATTCGACAAGAGTTGGGAGCTCGTATCATGGGGCGCCGGCGAGGACATCGTCGGCCGCTTCAGGCCACTCAACTCCCGCGGCGAGTCTGATGCTTGGTTCCGTATGGAGGGCAAGGCCAACGGATACGAGGCTGGTGTTGGCGACGTTACGGCCATCCATCTCACTGAGCCCGACGGGAAGCTGGGCCTGCTCGTCGGAAGGGCAAACGGTGATTTGTCTCTCGTCTCAGCCGCGCCGGGTAGTGCAGGCAAGACTCTCTCACACTTCAAGATACCCAAACCCACTGGCGGCCTGGAGCTCACCACATGGACCTCCATCGGCTCCATCGATACTCTGCCCAACCAGTCATCAGTGGTCGCTGGCAACAGGGCAACTATCAGCTTGTTCCCCCTGAACACAGATAACACGGGGGACGCAACCCCTCTGGACTCCCTGACCTTCGACATGTCAGGTACCGCCAGAACACAGTTCATCCACGCCGCCAAGGCGATGAACAATGACACCATTGTGTGCGCCCTCTCAGGCTCCTCGGACCCGATCCGCTATCTCACCGTCACCCCTACAGGCTTCACACCAGAAGTAGCTTCAAAGAACCCCGACCTCCTGCAATCTCGTGGCCTCGACCCAGACAAGAGACTCACCGTCCGCGCCATTCAACCCGTCAATCCGGGCCCCAGCGGTCACACGAACCTCCTCCTGAGCGCCTGGGACGACGGCACCTGCCGCCTCATGGACATCCGCACGCCGTCGCCCTTCGACGCGCTCTACCGCGATATGTACCAGCCGTTTGAGGCCGTCTCGTCGCTCATCACGTACGGCTCAGACCGCTTCGTCGCAGGCAGCGCGGAAATCGAAGCGCTCAAGATCTTTGACTTCCGCTGGACCAAGTCGTACTACCACTCCGCGGCGCTGCCCTGCTGGTCCGGCACCCCGTTTCCCGATCCGCTCAGGGGGACTAGCAGTCGCCCGCTGAGCCTGAACGGGGTCGGATGCAACCACTTCAGGGGAAACCGCTGCGTGTGGCACGAGAACTCGACGAGGGACTACTACCGGCCCAACTACCGCTTCCACGTCATGCCCTTCAAAGGAGCGTCGCGGGCGTCGAGCTCGCGCATCTTCTCCCTTGCCAAGGCGTCTGACGTCTCAGACTCGTTCTACGTCGGGCTGGCGGGCGCCGTGGCGGAATTTTCTACTGCGTTCAACGGCGAGGCGGATGATGTGGTGCCGTCTGCGGTCGCCACAGCGGCGGAAAAGCGAGGCTGGAAGGCGAGGGAGTCGCAGTTCAGCTTCGCGGAGACGGGCGATGGGCTGCTGCATCCTGGTGTCTCCATGAGCACTTTCATGCCCCGGCTTGTTCAACGCTTTGGGGATGAGATTGACGCACCGCAGTACAGTGGCTGGTATACCAAACAGACACCCAAGACAGCCGCGTGGCACCGCTGGGACAAGAGCTTCTGGCGTCCCACACACTTCACTTTCTGAGATGAAATTGGATCGGAGGGGGAGGACATCACAACATTGATCGGAATAGAGAAAAATTTAGAACATGAGAGCATAGCGTTAGAGTGGTAGTCATGATATGAATAGTTACTGAGTTGCATTTCATGCGTGTCATCCTATATGAACCATAAATACAGTTTGAACTGTGAGGTGATCTTTTCTTCCAAATATCCGCCAGCGTTGGTTACACCTTAGAGAATACTCATACACATCACCAGCGGCTGCCCCTGCCACTGCTCTGGTCATCTGCTCGGCGCTCCCGCTCAAGCATCTCGTCAAACTCCCTCTGAGCCTTA